TCTTTTAATGAAAAAAAAAATCGATGTGTATTTTTGCGGAGAGACCGGGCGACAAATATAATAATCGGGGGTTAGGGGAAGGGGGTGGCGCGAGGGGGACCGTTCGCGCCGCGGTCGAATGCGTCGACTTTTCGCAATTTTCCGTTCGACGGGCGCGCGTCGACGATTCGAACGCGACAACGTTTCATTGAAAAACAAAACTGTCTTTTCGGTTACTTCCGAGGTGAACATATAACCTCTCTCTCTTGAGTTTTCGATTCGAGGCTGCCCGGAGGAGGCAGAGGGCGCGCGCGTCGCCGATGTTTTCCTTTTTCGTGCAATTTCGTTGGTCCGTCTCTGTGTCCTCTGTGCTTTTTCTGTTTCGATTCGAGGATACGTTTCTTTTTTTCCGTTCGGTTTTCGGATTCGAGACTCGGAATGCTTATCCGGCGAAAGGGGGAGGAACAACAAAAACCTCTGAACGGGGACAGAGGCGAGAGAAAGGGGATACGTTGAGAGTATTTATTTTCCTGAAAATCTGAGAGACGTTCAAAGTTTATTCTGCTAACACGATCGAACGGAGGAGAGAATTTATTTTTCTTACACGGTGTTCCAAGCCTTTCGATTAAGCAGCGGGAGAAGGGGAGGGCTGGGGAAGAGGAGGGCGGTTGCGAAAGGTGGAGAGGGTGACAAAAATTTTCGGTAATTGCTACAGTACCAGGCGAGCACGGGAGCGAACAAGAATCGGGGGGCGACACAGTATGAAATTATTATAGCGATCGGATAGTTTGTGGCCTTCGGGATTCACCGGCTCCCTCCGGCATCTTAGGCGCGGCGCCATCTTGTACGCGCTCGGTCCTCGTACGAAGCGTCCTTGCGGGAAAGCTTTTTATCGATGTCAATCAGTAAATGTACTTTTAGCATCGGTTTTTATCGAAAAATGTCGGCGGCTTGTTTTTAAAGGTATATTCTAACGAGCAATGAATTTTAACAATTTTATTTTGTCATTTTTACGCAGAATTTTCTTTTACCGAGCGTCCTTGTTTCACGGACACCCTGTACATAGTCGAATAATTCGAATGTTTTTATCGCTCGAAACGGTGAAGTTTTGAACGATTTTTAAATCGCCCACTTGTTTTAGAATCGTCTTCTGTTTTAGCAGAAAAATATTGCGCGCTCTGTACGAGGTCTCGAGCGTCGCGAGAGGTTAGGGTCGGTCAAGATGGCGGCGATTCGCGCGTGTCGCACGGCCGAGAGGAGGGAGCCGGCGGGCTCGAAACGCGACAATTCTGTTACAACTACAATTACGTGAGAAACAGACAAAGAGTGCGTGTGATGCGCGCGTGGCAGGGAGAGAGAGACAGACGAAGATGAGATGCGGAAACATAGAGTTCAAACAGAGTATTTATTGTCTGTTCACTTTGCAGACAGACCCCGTCGCAGTCTTAAACGATTTTCAAGCGGGCAACGATTAATGTCCGTCGCAGGCAACCTCGAGCAGAATTTGTCCGATTATTGGCCGAAGCGGATAGAAATTTGTTAAAAAAAATTGGAGAAACGTAACCTTAAATTCTAGGTTCGCCCAAATTTTCCACTCACGCCGTTACGAGCTCCACTCGAAGCTGACACGCGATATATAATATAACAATTACTCACGTTGGAAGATTTCTTAAATGTGATCCGACTTTGAGGTTACGTCGGGCGCAATTTAATTTGCCATCCGACGCAATTTTATGATCGACGGACGTGAAAACCGAATGAGAAGTTGCCGCGTTGAAGTTCATGTAATGGCGACGGTGTCTCTCTCTTGAACGTGTGAACGGGCAGTATATTTGTGTAAATACTATCGCAGGGACGAAGAAACGTGCCGTGGAGTATACAGAGGGTAACCGAACGACACCTTTGTAAATTAGCTTTGTACATTGTACCTCCTGTTCTATTTTCCTTCTTTCGTTTAACCGCGCATTGTTGCAGGATCGGCCGGAAAGAGGATCCACTAGCGCCGTCCGGTAGATCCAGATTCTGGATCCATGTGGTCTATGATCTTCGCGAATCGAGGACGCGCGGACCGAGCAACGTTCGTTTTATCGCTGCAAATCGTAAACAATTTTGATCATCGATTTCCATAGATCGAATAACGAAGTTTTCAAACTGTTTGAAATTTTCTTTTCTTTTCTTTTCTTTTCTTTTTTCTTAATTCGTTTACAATCTTCTTGGATCGATTCGTTCGCGAAAACGCTTGATTTTTCGTTACGCATTTTGGGGTCCACTTTGCAAAATCGAGATGTTTCTCTGTCGAGGCTCTGTTGTGTATATAAATAAATATATACGTGTATTCATACATATATATAAACATATATATTTTTCTGGGATAAAAAAATATGACTACAAAGACGTATCCGACCTCGTGGACGCAATAAAAATTCATATAATCGATCATGCAAAGGGCATCAGGGTTGTAGTGTAATAGAGAGAAAAAGGGCGCGCGCGCGCGCGCGCGTTGAAGAGGGGGCGGGAGAGACATTATAAAGAGATGACTATTTTTTTTTAAATGAATCGCGACGGCGGAACAAGAACGGGAGCTTCTTTCTGTCGAAACATCCGATTGGTCAGCAGATTTTAATTGTTTATTTCATTGATCCGGTTGCTCTGGCCCGCGCGTCGATTAATTTGAAATGCTCGACATTTAGAAATACGTCCTGCGGCGTTTAAAAATGTTTTCATTGGCCGCTTCGAAAGGGACTTCGAAAATTGTTGTTTATTTCCAGATAACGGCGTTTTTGTGGGTCAGCTTTCCGCGGAATCGTTCCGTGAAAAAGAAACGATCGAGGATCACACTCGCTGTATGTACATAGACCGGATGACCGCTGGTAGCCATATTGTTATTCACGATTACTAGGAAAAACTTTCTCTGATTGACTGACGCGTCCTTTCTCTTCTTTCCTTTCTCTCACGAGAGAGCATCTCGCGTCCGGAGCAGAAATATTTTCCACGGAGCGGTCGTTTTGCAAGCTGTTCTCCCGTTCAATTATCTCGTAATTGTTAACTGTTCAACGATTAATATCCACCGGAAGCGCGACGGCCGCCATTTATTGATCGTTGCGTGCCCGCGCTCCTTTTTCCGTTGTTACCGCGCGACTCTGGTATCGTCGCCCGAGAGATTCGTTTTTCTTTTTTTCTTTTTTTTTATTACTTTAAATACCGCGCGGCGCGTGTGCAGCGAACGCAGAGTCTCACCGTGTGTTTCATTTCTCGGTTTTCTTGTAAATGTAAACGAGAGAAAATTCGGAACGACGTGTTTCGCCTAGTTTCGAGCGAAGGTGAAAGAAAGGAAGAAAGGAAGAGCCCTTTGTCTGTTGTATATTACTTTTATTTCCACCTTTTTTACAGGTGAAACAAAAGCGAGATCGGTTGATTGACCGTGCTATGTATGGATGATATGTTCCAATACTAGAAATAAATCTTTCAACAAATATGTCGGTGTTTTTCGATCAGTCGATACTCCATTCCAACTTCTCGGTGTATTCTGTCGCGGTAAATGATTCGAAACCGTGATAATTTGAAATGATTTCCGAGGCAAACGGTCGACGACGAATGATGCCTGCCGGTTTTCCAATAAGGTAGAACGCTAATTCCGGCACGAATCATCTGCCGTGCACGAAGGTCCGTACAGCGCCGTTCCGCGTGGCGGCGAAATGCTGAAACTGTTGGCCAAGCTTACCGTCGAAGCGTGAGTAAACTTATGGGGTATGTATTTCAATAAACTAATTAATTGATTGTGTTGTAAGTATCTCAAGTTACAGCCTCATTTATATTCAGTATTATCAATTTAATGATTTCGAATTTAAAACTGTTCTTTTAATAAATAGATCGTTCGTTTTGAGATAATCGTGTTTCCTCTTTCAAAGTTAGTTGTACATTGTTTCACGAAAAAGAATTCGTTGATTAGGGATAATAAATAACCGATTTAATATTTGCGACACGTGTTTTTCTAGATTTATTAACAATTAATAGTACGAGTACGTTATTTTGTATTTTTAATCAACGATCTTTTGTTGTGAAACAATAATACTACGATGTTATTTATGCATACACAGAAAATATAGGTGGAAGCAAGATAATAATAAAATAATAAAATAGTAAAATAGTAAAATAGTAAAGTGGTAAAATAGTAAAATAGTGAAGTGGTAAAATGGCTGTCTCTTATACACATCTAGATGTGTATAAGAGACAGTATTTATGCATACACAGAAAATATAGGTGGAAGCAAGATAATAATAAAATAATAAAATAGTAAAATAGTAAAATAGTAAAGTGGTAAAATAGTAAAATAGTGAAGTGGTAAAATGGTAAAAAATAGTAAAATAGTAAAATAGTAAAGTGGTAAAATGGTAAAATAGTAAAATAATAAAATGGTAAAATGGTAAAATGGTAAAATAATAAAATAGTAAAATAGTGAAGTGGTAAAATGGTAGAATGGTAAAATAGTAAAATAGTAAAGTGGTAAAATAGTAAAATAATAAAATGGTAAAATAGTAAAATAATAAAATGGTAAAATGGTAAAATAATAAAATAGTAAAATAGTGAAGTGGTAAAATGGTAGAATGGTAAAATAGTAAAATAGTAAAGTGGTAAAATAGTAAAATAATAAAATGGTAAAATAGTAAAATAATAAAATGGTAAAATGGTAAAATAATAAAATAGTAAAAAAAATAGTGAAATAATAAAATAATAAAATAGTAAAATGATAAAACAATAAAATAATAAAAATCAATAATAAAATTAAACATTAAATCTGCAAAACGCATTTTTAAAATTTTCGTTATAGGCTCAGATAAAAAGTAGACTAGCCGCTCTGTCATCAAAAAACGATCGAGGTCATTCCGTCTAATTAAAAAAAAAAGTTATTGCGCTCCAAATGTTGTCCGAATACATTCGTTCGCTACTGTAGCACGCGCTATAATCTCCTAGAATTTGCGTGTGCCCCCGATCCGGTACGATGTGTTATTGACGGTATCGTGAGGACAACTTTCTTTCGAACCGCCGCGGCCTACCCACGAGCATCACAACAAAGTTTATACATAACAGTATGCGGTATTTGTCGGTTGAATTTCGAATCGTTATGTTCCTCTAGTTGTGTACCTGTTAGCTATCGAACACGTGCTCAGTAGCGAACGAGTGAACGGTGAAGAGTACAAATGAACTAGAGCAAAAATGTTCCAAGCGATGTTATTACGGTGTTCACCATTGAGGGAAGTGATGTTCGCAATAGAAGACATTTTGACCGACGTTACTTTCGAATGTACTACCAGGGGTATAGATGTCAAGGCTATGGACGCTGCTGGCTTCACTTTAGTGTACCTTTGTCTAAAAAGCGGTGGTTTCACTGAATACAAATGCCGCAGAAATTTTTCAACACGCGTAATTCTCGGCCAGTAAGAACAAATATAAGTTTCAAGAGGACCATTATTATTTAGAATAGACGATCGAATAATAATATTAATTATTATAATAGTATTAATAACAATAATAGTAATAATAGTATTAATAATAATAATACTATTAATAATAATAGTATTAATATCAATAGTAATAATACTATTAATAATAATAGTATTAATATCAATAGTAATAATACTATTAATAATAATAGTATTAATATCAATAGTAATAATACTATTAATAATAATAGTATTAATATCAATAGTAATAATACTATTAATAATAATAGTATTAATATCAATAGTAATAATACTATTAATAATAATAGTATTAATATCAATAATAATAATACTATTAATAATAATAGTATTTTAATATCAATAATAATATTAATGATAATTCTTTTGGTTTCTCTCTATAGCGGGGGAAATCCTCAACAAGAATAGTAACACTAACGATAATAATAATAATAATAATAATAGACAGCATACGACTCTAACAAGCCTTTTGTTCCTGCCCAATCGAAATCGTTAAACTTAAAAGGACAAATGAAGGCAAGCAAATTTCTGTTTCAGAATATGCACCATGTTTAGAGCTGCCAGCCCAGACGATTCATTTTGCATGAAAGCGACGGATAATCTTGAGAGCATTTTGTACGTATTTCAATCAGCAATCACAAAGAGATATGTTTGGTACAAGAGAAAAATCATAAACATGGATGACGAACTTCTCGACGTTCCCGTATGTTTCATTCTTTCCGCGCAAGAAAGAATGTAATTCTTTTCGTAATTCGTTCGTTCTGGTTATGCTATTTATTATCATACGATATTGTTGCAGAATGCACCGTATTTGTGTATCATACGCATGTCGTCGCGGGAATTAGCCAAAGTCTGTACGGATTTAAGCACAATCGGAAAATTGATAACATTATCAACTTCTCCTGATAGCATCAGGTTCACTGCCTCTGGAAATAATAGACACGGTATAATCATTTTATTCGTTAAACATTACAATAATATTTAATTAATTATTTACATTAATTTAATGTTTACATCAATTAATGTGCAAGCGATGTTTCCGCGTGCCAATTGCTCGCATTGTCCAAAAAGGGCACACGAACTCACCACCATATGTGTACAGTGGCCCACAAAAGTTTTCGTAAACTTTTTAAAACGCAATAACTTTTTCAAAACTGAACCATAGGCGACGATGATGCATTTTGTTTAGATGATAGAGGAACTAGTCTATGAGACGATGGCTAAAAAGCTTTTTCTTTTTAATTTTGCTATTGCAACATGCATGTAAGTTACAAAGATCTGGGAAAGATATGCTTTATCTTAATTTTTAAACTAAAAAAAAAGCATTTCAGCAATCGTCTAGTCCCACTATCATCTACAAGAAATTCGAGTCATTTAATTCAGTTTTAAAATAACTATTGCGTTTTAAAACGACGAACACTTTTGTGAACTACTGTGTTTTCTTTTCTTTCTTATAACAACCGATTAAAATTAAGCATCGACCTAGAATCTATTTACCTGCGTGAACTTGCTGAGGTCATGCAAGCATTATTTGTAATACGATGTATACATATATCGCGCAGTGTAATGATATACTGTATCTACAGGGTGAGCCGTTTAAATCGACCCAATCCAAAAATATCTTCGAAACCGTTGTCGATACTAAAGTATGTTTCGAACGAAAGTTGAACAGTTTTAGAGGACGCCTAATCTGATATTGATAAGATCTTGCTAGGTGAACGCGTGGAGGACGTACGAAGATCAACGTTATTTTTTTTAAATGGAATCACACATTCTTCGATGCAGTAGTCGATTCAGCTCGCCATTCTCTTCATAGAAAAATCATTTAGGTTTAGAAGATATTTTAAGTATAGTATTAAGAAAATCGCTAATATTGTGTTGCATCCGACATATGAGCCGTTTATTTTGAAAGTGGCCTAAGTCACTTTGTTTTTAAGTCGATATATCGAAGGGTTTGCGTTTTAACACGTTTAAAAATATGGATGCTAACTTTCGAGAAGATTTACTTGTATTTGTTATCTCAGGATACTGATATTTTTTCAGTATAAATANGGAACTAGTCTATGAGACGATGGCTAAAAAGCTTTTTCTTTTTAATTTTGCTATTGCAACATGCATGTAAGTTACAAAGATCTGGGAAAGATATGCTTTATCTTAATTTTTAAACTAAAAAAAAAGCATTTCAGCAATCGTCTAGTCCCACTATCATCTACAAGAAATTCGAGTCATTTAATTCAGTTTTAAAATAACTATTGCGTTTTAAAACGACGAACACTTTTGTGAACTACTGTGTTTTCTTTTCTTTCTTATAACAACCGATTAAAATTAAGCATCGACCTAGAATCTATTTACCTGCGTGAACTTGCTGAGGTCATGCAAGCATTATTTGTAATACGATGTATACATATATCGCGCAGTGTAATGATATACTGTATCTACAGGGTGAGCCGTTTAAATCGACCCAATCCAAAAATATCTTCGAAACCGTTGTCGATACTAAAGTATGTTTCGAACGAAAGTTGAACAGTTTTAGAGGACGCCTAATCTGATATTGATAAGATCTTGCTAGGTGAACGCGTGGAGGACGTACGAAGATCAACGTTATTTTTTTTAAATGGAATCACACATTCTTCGATGCAGTAGTCGATTCAGCTCGCCATTCTCTTCATAGAAAAATCATTTAGGTTTAGAAGATATTTTAAGTATAGTATTAAGAAAATCGCTAATATTGTGTTGCATCCGACATATGAGCCGTTTATTTTGAAAGTGGCCTAAGTCACTTTGTTTTTAAGTCGATATATCGAAGGGTTTGCGTTTTAACACGTTTAAAAATATGGATGCTAACTTTCGAGAAGATTTACTTGTATTTGTTATCTCAGGATACTGATATTTTTTCAGTATAAATAATTTCGAATAAACATTAAAAAATCACCACTTTTCATTACGGTAAAGTCACTTTCAAAATAAACGGCTCATATCGTAATACTAAACTTGAGATATCTTCTAAACAAATGATTTTTCGCAATAAATGGCTAAGTATATTTATGAACAGAGTGACGAGCCGAATCCACTAGCGTGATCAAAAATACACGATTCCATTAAAAAAAATAAAGTTGACCTTCGTATGTCCTCTACGCGTCGACCTAGAAAGATCTTATTCACATCAGATTACGTGGCCCCTGAAACCATTCAACTTTCGTTTGAAATATTTCTCTGCGTTATCAACGGTTTCGAAGATATTTGTGGATTGGTTCGATTTAAACGGGTCACCCTGTATACAACTGACGTTATAACGATTTCACTTATATACTATATTCTATTCTTTTTCAGTTGCCTACGAGTTAACAGAAACGAAGCCCGAGCTGAACGAAGAAAACGCAGTTGTTATCAATCAGCACGAACCTGTGAGTTTAACAATCACACGGTGCTACGCTATCAATTTCGTGAATTCTGTGCCTCTCAATGAACGAGTGCAATTATCCATGGCGAGAGAAGGGCCTCTGGTTTGCGAATATAGAATCAGCGATCTTGGATACCTCAGATTTTATATGGCTCCGAAAACAGAAGGGGATGACGATTTTCAAGAGATGCTAGAAGACAGTTGTTAAAAAATACTTTTGAGCTAACACGTTTAAATTGTACATTTAAAAGTCATTTGGTTATGTCATATGGTTATGTTGGCACGACGTAGAATTGCCGCTTTCAAGGTTTCAAGCTTTCGAGGTTCATAGTAAGGATGACACGATCGTGATTTTCTATTTACATTCTCGTAATAATTATTTATATCGTTAGTTTTCGTATCGTTAGAAGAATTCGAGATATTTCCAAAACATTTTATAAATATTTCTGTTTCAAAATAAACACTTCAAGCTTTCGTTTGAGCTAAGTTGCATGCAAATAGCTCCACGGAAACATAATTTAAATTCTGTCCGAACTTTCCCATTGAAGTTGCGTTACTTTTCCTGACATCATCGCGTTCTTCGTGTTTTCTTAATATTCTTTTTCAAAATAAACTCCGATTATATACCAATCTGATGTACCCTATTTTAAAGCATAAATCTCCAGCTTTCGTTTCAGATACGGAAGAAAGATCCTATAGGATCATAACCTAATATCGACATGAATTTACTTAATAATCTTTCTGCACGAATTTATGAACACTTTCGACGATCTCGCGTTTATACGCGCCGAACATATTTTAGCGTGTTAGAATATAAGTATATAGACAAGTATAATCGATACGTATTTTATTTAAGGTAGCTCAGCTTTCGATCTCGCATCTTTTCATTTCTTTCCCACTTCCATTTCGTGTCACGTTCCGAACCTGTAAGTAGTACTAGTCGATAATGGGTCGGACGTTCCAAAAACCGTCGGAATTTTTATTCACCGGGGGATGATTTTTATGCAACTTTGTTCAAATGAAAGTAGGAAGTGTTTACTTTGAAGCCGGGTAACGCGGTTCGTAAAAGGATCACACAAACATTTTGAAAATTTACGAAATGTTTTGGAAATTTCTTGAGCTTGTTTTTCTTGCGTATACAAAATTATATAATTATACTATTACAAAAATAACGTCACAATTCATAAACCTTACGAGAATAATGCCGCAGTGCTAAAAGTTGATCATGATCGCGTCAAATATAAAATTTAGATATGTTACCTTAAAAGTATTATTTAAGTACCGTTAATCGTTCCTTAAACGACGCGTATAAAAATATATATATATATACATCGTCCCTCTTCCATACTTCGTTAATGCCAAAGTTTCGAAAATGCTTAGCAGGCAAAAATGTTCAACATTTGACTTATTATTGAATCGCACTACTTAAAGATTTAAAACATGGTAAAGAATGGAAGTATGAATGGAAAGAAAACAGGCGAGATCGGAAGTTAAGTTACTTCAAATAAAATACTTACCAACATATGTATACTTATATGCTAAATGTGTCTGTGTTTATAAAACATGGATAATAATTGTTAGAAAAATTTGTGTCGATTTTAGGATACGTTCACGAAGGATTTTTTTTATACAGCTTAGCTCAAGCGAAAGGGCATGTGAATTTACGTATATCTGCTATGCAGATGTTGTTACAGAAATAGTAGTATCTAAAGATGTATAGTAGCTGCTTAATTAATAAAAATCATAAGTAAAATGTCAGTCGTTGGGTTCTTGATATTCGGAGCTCGACCCTGCATTCTGCATATGTGGCGCCTCTGTTGGAGAAAAAATGAAGCTCTGTTCGATGTCCGTACAGCGCCCATTGGTGCAGTGGCAAAACGTTCAAACTGTTAGCCAAATTTGATTGTTGGTAATTTGGCGAACAGTTTGAGCGTTTTGCCTTATTACTCATCACTCATTTCCGTACTGTCGTACATAATATATATATATAAATATACAATATAATGCTTAAAAAATCTAGAAATCCTAAAAAATAAAAAATATTTTTCTCTTTACCTCTATTTCTCTCCATGTCTCCGCTTTTTCCCTCTCTCTCTCTCTCTTTCTCTACTCTCTCTCTCTCTCTTTCTCTTTCTCTATTCCCTTTCTCTCTCTCTCTCTCTCTTTCTCTTCTCTCTCTCTCTCTTTCTCTACTCTCTCTCTCTCTCTCTCTCTTTCTCTACTCTCTTTCTCTCTACTCTCTCTATCTCTCTCTACTATCTCTCTCTACTATCTCTCTCTCTCTCTTTCTCTCTCTCCCCCATCGTCATCCTTTCCTAAAATCGCTCTATCCACTCTCTCGCTCATGTATTACTTTCTCTTCCTCTCCCTTTCCCATAGTTTCGTCTGACTTGCTATTGACTCAAACTACTTGCTAATTGTATCAGGAAAACCTGCGAGGAGGTACCCCGAAGTCCTTTGCCTGGCTTGTGATTGACTCGTACTACTGAAATTTCGGCAGAAATGTTCGAAAAATTTTCTTGCAAGTAGTACATCTCAACCACAAGCCAGACGAAAAAAATTCGAATACCTCCTCGCATATCGTGTTCTCTTAATATAGAAGCAAGTAGTTAGAATCAATGGAAATTCAGACATTGGGAAGGGGAAAGGGAATGGAATGTGTTGGGAGAGATGTAAGGTTGAGATGTAAGGTTTAGAAAAATTTATATATAAAAAGACGTTTTGATTGAGTTTCATAGTATTTTTGTTTTCACACATTACAGTTCTTATTCCATTTTACAATCATTTTGTAATAACGAAAGGAAGTCAGAACGAAATCGGTATTCGTTGTGGCTCCCTTCCTTACAACGACGACTTACTTAACTAACAATAAGATCTACGCAGTGATTGGTCTATGGTCTTCGGCCAATGGAAGAAAAATAAGTTTACTATTGGCCGAATAAGGTCACAAAGGCCTGCGATCATAGGAAGGACAACGGACTACAGCAGAAGTGGCAATGTAATTCGTTGTTGTAATCTTGTTCCAGTGCTTTTGATGTGGCTATTGCTTCCGTGCTGCATATGGATAGTCTTTTTTCTACCATCAAACCGTTTTTCCTTTTTCGTTTTTGTAGATTCTGATTATTCCGAATTCGATTCGAAATTACTTTTTCCATTTTGGATCCGTCCGTATAAATTGTTATAGTGTTGTCTTTATTTAGATTGTGGTTTTCGTGAAAGGCTTTCTTCGTTCTGTTTGTTGGATTTCTTCCAATTTCAATTTCTCTTCCAATTCCATGTCCTTTGTCCATCTTTCATTATATCCTCCTTGTTATAATTTTTGTAACCATCTTTCTTTTTCTATTTTGTCCTAATTTATTTTTTGTTATTTCTTGTTCGTTCGATGCTATTTTTTCAAATATTTCCTCTGTCTTTGATAGGATAATTGCTTTAATCCTTCTATTCCTCATATAAATATGATTTGTCTCTTTAGTTCTTAGTACTGTATTCTACAGGGTGTTCTACAATTATTTTAACAGCCGAAAATGAGGGGTAGCTGAGGTCATTTGAAGTAACTTTTTCCTTTGCGAAAATGCAATCTGCTGCTTTGTTTACGAGTTATCAACGGAAAACACTGGCCAATGAGAGGTGACGGTGCGAGAGAGAGAGAGAGAGAGTCCGCGAGAGAGTCCGCAGCACGAGGCTTTGACAGAAGGTCGGGACGGACTCGAGCCGCGTTCGAAGTATTGAACAAGTCACGAAGCGAGAACTTTCCGGATTTTTTTTACTACGTAACAGTGATATTTTTAAGAAAAACGCTGTTCACCTTTACTTTAGAACGTCTGAAGAATATTTACTAATTTTTCGGACCCGAAATAATATGTAGTTTAACCGTGACAGCCGTTTTAATTTTCTGGTGTGCATGACACCT